TTCTGAAAGACTTGAGAATGTATGTTAATGTTTTAGTTTCTATAGGGAAGCAAACCACCTGTGGCTGTGGCCTGCATGGGAGACCCGTGCTACCATCACCTGCCTGGCAGGGTGCTCATTTACCTTTCAAGGCTGGCTAGGTGCTTGCAATTTTCCTTGAAGGGACGCAAGAGTTTTACTTGATTTCCAAGCTTGGGAGAGCCTGGCGGGCACTCAGGAGGGGTCCTTGCCCCATCTCACTATGTTGCCCATGTGGGTCTTGAACTCCTGGGCTCCAGCTGTCCTCCTGCCTCGGCCTTCTGAGTAGGACGACAGCTGTGGGCCACTGTGTAAGTGCCTGGTGGGTTCACATGCCCACTGCCTAGACAGAGCCATTTTATCAAGACAAGGGAATGGCAACGGAGAAAGAGTCACTCAAGCAGAGCCGGCTGTGCGGGAGACCAGAGTTTCACTATTACGAGAATCAGTCTCCCAGAGCATTTGGGGATCTGCGTTTTTAAAGATGATTTGGCAGATGGGGGCTCTGGAAGTGGGGAGTGTGGATTGGTCAGGTTGGAGATGGAATCATAGGGCTGGAAGTGAGGTTTTCTTTCGGTCTTCTGTTCCTGGGTGGGATGGCAGGACTGGCTGGGCCATGTTACAGGACTGGGTGGTGTCAGCTAAGCCGTCCAGCAAGGGTCTGCAGGATCTGGAGCACTGACTGACCTTAGGTTTTACAATAGTGTTATTACCCCCAGGAACAACTTGGGGAGGTTCAGACTCTTCGAGCCAGAGGCTACATGACCCCTAAATTGTAATTTCTAATCTTGTAGCTAATTTATTAGTCCTACAAAGGCAGACTGGACCCCAGGCAAGAAGGAGATCTTTTCAGGGAAAGGGCTGTTATCAATTTTGTTTCAGAGTCAGGCCATGCCTGGCCATAAACTGAATTCCTTCCCAAAGTGAGTTCTGCCTACCCCTGGGACGAACAAGGACGGCCTAAGAGGTACAGGCAAGGTGCTCTCTCTCACTGTCATTATTTCCTCAGTTATAATTTTGCAAAGGGAGTCTCGACTGTGTGTGCCCTGCCCTAATTTTGTGTAGTCTTATGGTTTATGTGTGTCTCTGTGAACGGCACAAATTGAGTGTTTTAAAAGCCAGTCAGAGAATCTTTATCTTTTAATTGGAACTTGAACCATTTTACATTTCATAAAGCATCAGTGATAGATTTGGGTTTAGAGCTACCATTTTACTACGATGTATTATATTTCCTTTGGGGTCTGTGGTTTTTTTCCTTCCTTTTTTAGCCTTCTTTCTGATTTTGAGTATTTTTTATCATTCTGAGACAGCCACGGATAAAGGGCTCCCAGGAGGAACTCCAACCAGCTGCACACTGGGAGTGGGGGCGGGGCCCGTGCACTGGCAGATGGGGGCGGGGCCCGCGCACTGGGAGAAGGGGGCGGGGCCCGCGCACTGGCAGATGGGGGCGGGGCCCGTGCACTGGGAGAAGGGGGCGGGGCCCGTGCACTGGGAGAAGGGGGTGGGGCCCGTGCACTGGCAGACGGGGCGGGGCCTGCGCACTGGGAGAAGGGGGCGGGGCCCGCGCACTGGGAGAAGGGGGCGGAGCCCGGCCTCTCCTGCTCTGGTAGAACCTGGAATTCAGTCTGTGAGGCAGGAAACCAGCTGGCATGACTCTGGCTTTGCTGAGAGTCCCTGTTTCCCTTTTCACCCAATAAATTCCATATTTCTCGCCCTTCACGGTGTCTGCAAGCCTCATCTCTCCTGGCCGTGTGACAAGAGCCTGGCTTCCATCTGCAGGAAGAGGGAAGCCCTGCCATTCCACTGCCCTGTTCGGAAGCTGACTTTCTGCATTTTTTATTTTTCCTTTTTTATTTTTATTTTCCCACTGATAACTGGTCGTGTTGCTTTGATCTCCCTCTGTTTTTTAGTGAATAATGTAGACATGAAAACACCCATGGTGGATACATTGGAGTTGAAAGTTAATCCCTCAGCCTCTTCAGGTGTCCCAGCCCTTACGATGCTTGACTGTATTCACTCCTTTCCAGGTTTGTATCATTTAAATATCCCACAAGACAGAGATGGAGTCTAGGCTGGAGTGCAGTGGTGTGATCTCGGCCTTCTGGGTTCAAGTGATTCTCCCACCTCAGCCTCCCTAGGAGCTGGCATTACAGGCATGCACCACCACCACGCCTGGCTAATTTCTCTGTATTTTTAGTAGAGGCGTTTTCACCATGTTGGCCAGGTTGGTCCTGAACTCCTGACCTCAGGTGATCCACCCACCTCGGCCTCCCAAAGTGCTGGGATTACAGGTGTGAGCCACCGAGTCCAGCCTTTTTTATTTTTGAGACAGTATCACTCTGTTGCTAGGCTGAAGCGCAGTGGTACAATCTTGGCTCACTGCAACCTCTGCCTCCCGGGTTCAAGTGATTCTTCTGCCTCAGCCTCCTGAGTAGCTGGGACTGCAGGCACGCACCACCATGCGTGGCTAGTTTTTGTATTTTTAGTAGCGATGGGGTTTCACTATGTTGGCCAGGCTAGTCTCGAACTCCTGACCTCAAGTGATCCTCCTGCCTCAGCCTCCCAAAGAGCTGGGATTACCGTTGTAAGCCACCATGCCTGGCCAAAGGTCACTCTTTAAAAGACATTCTTCGCCAGAGCCGCATGGTGAAACCCTGCCTCTACAAAAATTAGCTGCGTGTGGTGGTGTGTACTTGTCACCCCAGCTACTTCGGGGACAGAGGCGGGAGGATTGCCTGAGCCTGGGAGGTCAATGCTAGAATAAGCTGTGATTGTACCACTGCACTGCAGCCTGGGTGACAGAGGGAGACCCTATTTCAAAAAGCAAGAGGGTGGGTTAGTGGCTCATGCCTGTAATCCTAGCACTTTGGGAGGCTGAGGCAGGTGAATCACTTGAGGTCAGGAGTTTGAGACCAGCCTGACTAACATGGTGAAACCCCATCTCCACTAAAAATACAAAATTTACCTGGGCATGGTGGTGGGCACCTGTAATCCTAGCTACTTGGGAGGCTGAGGCAGGAGAATCACTGGAACCTGCAGTGTGGAGGTTGCAGTGAGCCAAGATCATACAAATATATTCCAGCCTGGGTGACAGAGTGAGACTCCATCTCAAAAACAAAAACAAACAAAACACAAAATACCCCACCCCAATAAACTGGGGACATGTGCATGGAGGGTGTAAAATCAGTCGAGTGGGACACAATCGATCCTTTTTCAAATAAAATAGAAAATATCAGAGTTCATCACATGAAACAGGAGAGCTTGCTCTGTGAAAGCCGTCTTCCGTCACCCACAGATACACTGATACAGTGCACACCTCTCCGGATGCATGCGCTCTGACTGCATGTAACATGCACTGCTTACTGAGGTCAGATTTAAAAAAACATTTTAAGATTCAAAAATACAACGCTACAAGTCAGCATCCCTAGCAACAGTCTAACTTCTCCGTGGCTTGGTGTTATGATGTCTGGCTTAGCCATCATCAGGCCACGGGACCTGAGCAGTGTGGCTGCAGGGCCGGCAGAGTGACCCTCGGACCACGGGCCCTGCTGGCGCTGCCCCTTCAGGTTGGACCCGTGCTCCCATCATTGCTTGGCCGGGCAGTCAGTTCTCTGGGGCCCGAGCCTTGACCACAGCCATCCCGGGTCGTTGGGGTTCTTCAGTGCCTGATGCCTCCACCTCTGCTCCTGTCCTCCCTGCTCTCAGGAGCCACCCCGTCTGGCCCATCCTCTCAGAAGCCAGAGTCTCCAAGCAGAGAACCCTGAGGGCATAGTGTAGATTCTGCTTTTCGGAGTGGACCACCCACCAGAGAGGCGACCCATTCATATGCAGGTCTGCTGCCTTTATCTGTCTTCATCAAGGGCTCTGTCCCTACCTCCCAGACCGCCCTCTCTTCCTTCTGCCCAGCACCTGGGGGTGGGAGGGCAGTCACCCCTGCCCCATTTCCTGTGTCTTCTGATTCTCCCTGAAGAAGAAATTTGGATGTGGGTGTGATGGGGATGGGCAGGGGCACTGACTAGGAGGGACAGGGTGGCTCTGGGAGCAGCCAGGACAGAGGTCTGGGCCTTCTCAGGGAGCCCCCGCGTCATCCCACCCTGTTTCAGGGGCCCCTGCTCCCTGTACAGAAAACAAGGGGTGCCTGGCCCTGGGTCTCAGTGTCAGGGCCTGCTGCCCTGCTTGGCCCCTCCTGGGCTCTGTCGCACAGTGGGCTGCCTGTGGGGGCTCAGCTGGAGACCCTCATCCTGAGATGGAGGGGCCTGGCCCTGGGCATGAACTGAGTCTCACAGGGCTGCTGCTTCTTTCTGCTTCCCACACCCTGATGCACCAGGAATCTGAAACTGAAACTCAGGGCCTTGCTCTCTAATGAGTCAGAAATTGTTTTTGTTTTTTTTGGAGATGGGAGTTTTACTCTTGTTGCTCAGGCTGGAGTTCAATGGTGCCATCTCGGTTCACTGCAACCTCCGCCTCCCGCGTTCAAGTGATTCTCTGCCTCAGCCCCTGAAGTAGCTGGGATTACAGGCATGTGTCACATGCCCAGCTAATTTTTTTGGGTTTTTTTTAGTAGAGACGGGGTTTCTCCATGTTGGTCAGCCTGGCCTCCCGCAACCTGGCCTCAGGTGATCCACCAGCCTTGGCCTCCCAAAGTGCTGGGATTACAGGTGCAAGCCACCGCGCCAGGCCTCAGAATTTCTCTTTTTAAGGCATCCTCCGACCCCCAGGCGACACCCTCCCCTCCCTTCTTCACCGCAGCCCCTCCTCCTTCCAGGTCTGTTCTGCTCACACCCGGAGCTCTGGGAGGCCCCAGGCAGAGAAGCGGTGGTTGGGGTGGGGGGTCTTGGTCTTGCTCCAGGTCACATCTGGCTCCCAGAGCAGCCGTGTCAGGAAGGAAGGTTTTCCACCCCTCAGATCACGTGCTGTGAGATGATGGAATGAGGTCATAGGCTGCGTGCACGTTACATGAGCCATCGGACTCCTTATTCAAAACCGGAAATGGGCTGGGGAGTGTGAGGCCTCCCTGGCCAGGCTCAGAGCCTCCGCGCCGCACCAGCCCTCAGTGCGCCTGCACCCAAGACCATGGAGGTCGCCGGCCCCATGCTGCTGCTGCTGGCACTGCTGTGGGTGAAGCCCAGTGAGTCGGGGGCTGAGGGGGAGGTTGGGAAGGAGGCCTAAAGATAGTCGCGAGACCCTCTCGATGCCGGGGGCTCCAGAAGCCAGCAGGACCCTGCCCACAATTCTGAGCGGCCAAGGGTGCCTGAGCCCCCTGCCCCGTGTGCTGCCCGTGCTGGTAAGAGGGTAAGAGGGACCGGAACCCACCCTTCAGCCTCCGACCCTGACCTGCGCCCTCCCTGCCCCACCCCAGGCCAGGGTCTCGAGTGCTTCCAGTGTGTCAACGTCCTGGACCCCCGCCAGTGCCACCCCGTCCTCTGTCCCCTGCAGGCTGGAAGCTGCCCGTCTGCTGTAGCCACTGGCACTATCAATGGTGAGGCCCGGGGCAGGGGCAGGTGGGGGTGGGCAGGGTGCTTTCAGCCAGCCTTGAGGCCCCTGGTCTGGTGGAAGCTTGGGTCTGGGGACAGAGCTCAGGGATCTCCATCTGATGGAATGCAGACTTGGTGTGGCCCTGGGGCCGTGGCCTGTTCTCCTCTGGTTCTCTCCGTGTCCCCACTGGCTTCCAGGTTCCCTGAAGGAGGAGGTCCTCGGCAGGTCCCAGGTCGGTGGGGCCTCCTGTGCCAGACACCCTCCTCTCTCGCCCACAGGGCAGAAGTTCAGCTACATTACCAAGGGCTGTGGCGTTCCCTGTGCCCACGTTATGAAATTTGCCAGTCTTGAGGTCCCTGGAGAGTCTTACCCCATAAAAACTGAGGATGGACGACAGATTAACATGAAGATTGAAAACATAAAAACGACCTGCTGTGAAGGAAACCTCTGTAATGAGGCTGCCCGAGTTTGGCCTGGCCTCTGGGACCTGGCTGTCAGGGGGCTCCTGCTTAGCCTGGGCGCCCTCCTCTGGGCCCTGCTGTGAGCCCAGCCCACCCTGTCACTGCCCCTGGTGGGTAAATTAGAGGAGGGCAGGGTGGTTGCCCAGTGCAGCCCTCAGTTCCCTGCCCTGATGCCCCTGCCTGGCCACCCGGCAGCCCAGAGACCCCCCCTCACCCCAAAGCCCAGAGAACCCCTCACCCTGCAGCTTAGCTGCCTGCTGGCCCAAATAGAAAATGCACATGCTCAGTCCAAGGACTTTGTCCCGTTATCAATCTTCGGGGGTCCGGCCTGTGGCCTTCAAGGGTTCCCAGCAAATTCTCCAGGGTGGGGTTCAGAGATGGGAGGGCCTTCCCCAGGCGGCCCAGCCTGAGCTCATTTCCAGCCAGGATCAGGCTCAGCCCCAGCCCAAGGTCTAGGAGCAGGCTGGAGGGTCTGGAACTCGGGGCTGGGCCCCCCAGGAAGACGTGCTGGGGGTTGATGGAGGGAGTGGAGGGGTGGGGACACCGTGGGCCCAGGCCTGGCGTGGCTGCGGGGTTTCCACAATTATGGACAGTGTGTGAGAGGGTCCCGGGCCTACAGGCTGGCCACCTGTGTGAGGCACTGCAGAGTGGATGGTGTCAAAGGGGCAGACGCAGTGGATGGTGCAGGATCCTGCCTGGCCTCACGGCCCAAAGTCCCCACAGGGACTGAGTGGCTGCCCGCCCTCCAGAGGCTCATCCTCGGGCAGATGTCTGGAAGCGGTGGCTGGATGAAGCTGCGGAGAGGAGGGCACCCAGCTCTGGGGGCGCATGGGAAATCCCCGGGGGGGAGGCTCAGATCCAGGACCCTGAGATGGGCCTCTCTCCCTCTCCCCACCCCACCCCCCGTCTCTCTCCTTCCTCTCCCTCCCCTCCCCTGCAGGCCTCCCTACTGCACCTTTCCACCCAGTCTCCCTCCCCCAGGCTTCAGGAAATTGAAACTCAGCAAGCTGAGCTCCTCCCCCTCTGCCCCAGGCTCAAGGCACAAGGCAGGCTCTCACCTTCTGCTCAGTGAAACCACCTGTCCCTGGGCAGCAGGAAGCCTGCAGGACGATTCTCCCCACCACCCGAAGGCGATCAGGGCTGCCTCTGACTTCAGCCCTAAACTCAAAGCAGAGGGAATGCTGGGCCCAGTCCCAGATCCCGGGAGGCCCTCTGATCCTGTCTCCCCTTGAGAAAGGTGGGGATGCCCGCGCCCTGCTCTCAGTGTGGTTGTGAGACTTAGAAACCTGTGAGCTCACTGGGAAGTGGAGGTGCCCAGAGACGGAGGCGCAAACTAGCTTTAGCAGAAACCAAGCATTTGTTGGAAATTCTGTCATTGCCCAGCGCCCACCACACTCCTGTGTCCCTGGGTCAGATCCAGGTTTCTGGCCATGGTTTTTCGGGGCAGCTTCCTCCTGCCAGCTCCACTGTGATGGGCTGGCTTCTTTCCCTCCAGCAAAGCCACCTGCGATTCTGAGCGGACCACGCCGTGAATGCACTGCACACTGGGACCTCTGTCCTCCGGGCTACAGTGCCCAGGGTGCCTGGACCTTCTGCTTTCCTGCTCTCTGCTTGCATTTCTCAGACCGACCCACTTGGGGAATCCAAACTCCCCACACAGAATCTCCGGCTCAGTCTCAGAGGCTGCTCTTCCCCAGGGAGGACTGCTCTGTGGCTGGCCTCTCCTCCCGCTGAGCCCTTCTGGGCCTCCCACTCGGTCACAGTGGGTGCCTCATGGCCCTCTTGGGTGGCAATAATGATTCATGTTTCAGACATGAATCATTACCTCAGGGATCCAGAAGGACGACACGGGTCCTTGACCTGCCTTGACCTCAGGACCCAGGAGGACATGGCTGTTCATATCAGCTGCCGGGGGCGGGAATCGTGAGCTCCCCCAGTGATGACCGGCCCCCACTTTGGGACAGTGACCCTGGGATCCTGACAGACACCACAGCCTCCGGCCAGCTGGGGACAACCCGGGTCAGTGCTGAGTGGCTGAAGCCCTGGCCGCTCCCCACACTGTCCCAGAGAAATGAACAAACGCACTGCCATTTGGTGTCTGTTCATTTTCCCTCCCAGCCCCAGGATCCCCTGGGATGTGCACAGCACCCAGCTGCAGATGTGCCTGGGGCCAGGCCGGCCTCCTCCGTCAGGAGCCACCGTGTCTGCCAGGGGGAAGCCGGCAGCGCTGCAGTCCCAGGCACAGCTTCTGCGTGGGAGCCCCTGCCCCTCCCACAGGGTACTCACTAAGCCCCGGCCCGTCAGGTCCTGCCCCAGCCTGGCTTTTGTGCCCTCTGCACCAGTGGGTCCAGACAGACACCCTCCATTCCCAAGCCCCAGAGCCCTGGGTGCTGCCCCAGCCTGAGTGTGCTCCTTCCTGCACCCGCTTTCCCTTCTCCATGCCTCCAACCTCCTTCCGCTGCGGGAGGCTGAGCTCACTTGACCTGCTGAGCCTGGCGCAGGAGTACAGGCAGAGCACAGGGGAGTGGCTTCTCCAAGCCAAGCAAGCAGCTGGCTGTGGCTGCGGGGGCTCCTGCTTCTCCCCCACCGCCGCCTGGGCTGTACCACAGAAGACACCAGGACCCTTGATAGTCTCTCCCCCTAAGGGCAGCCACACACAGAGCAGGAAGGGGGGACATCTGTATTTATTTGAGGCACCGAAGCAGCAGGACTCCAATGTGGGGCTGGGCTGGGGCAGGGCTGGCTGGATTTGGGGCAGAGGCCTAGAGACCTGGAAGCGGCGGAAACGCCACCCCCAAAAGGCTGCCCTTGAAGGGCATGGGACTGTGCCAGGGCAGGGGGTTATAGGGGACTGGGGCTCTGCAGGCTGCTGGCACCCCTCCCTCCCCAAACACAGGCCCCAGAAACTGCCACGTGCTCACACCTGCACAGCACACCCACGTACCCCCACGGGCACACATCCCTACTGGCACAGCCTCCCTGGGGGCCCTCTCAGTGTGTCCACAGGAGTTGGTCCTGACGCTGGACCCTAAGACTCCAGGGGACCCTCATCCCTTCCACGGTCCCCCAAGGAAGGTCACATCATTGACCCCAGAAGTGAGGGCATGTGGCCCCACCTGGGGCAGAGGCAGGGCTGGGGCAGGTGGAGGAGCAGGGGGTAGGCCTGACCTGGGACCAAGGGCGCGAATCAGGCACGTGAGGAGTCAGGGGCTCTCACACCCTTGTGGGATCCAGAGAGGGCTGGGCTTTCCTTCCTGAGCTAGGGGGCCGGGGACAGGGACTGGGCGGTCAGGGGCCGAAGCGCAGCAGGGCAGGTAACAGGCTCAGCAGCAGTCCGGCACCCAGCAGAGTGGCGCTGGCCCGCAGCCCGCCGTCGGCCGCGCTGAAATTGCACAGGAAACCCTGACAGCAGCGGATGCCCATGGAAGCTATGCCAGCATTGATGTTTCCTGGGAGGGGGCAGGCCGGGGAACAGGACTTGCTCAGGGTGTGGCCAAAAGTGACGATCTTTCCTGCAAGGGAAGAGAGGCTGTGAGGGGAGCCAGGCGGCTGCAGGCAGCAGCCATGGCCTCTGCAGGTGCGATGGGGAGGAAGGCGCCGTCTAGGCCTGGCACTCACCGATGCCGGCAGACGCAGTCACCGTCAGGCAGTAGTTGTCCTGGTCGGAGCAGATGGTGGGCTTCAGGCAGTACAGATTGCTCTTCTGGTTTAGGCAGGAGAAGCACATCAGTGAGCCGGCTGTGGAAGGACACACCTGTCTCAGGGACACCTCCAGGGTCCCTCCAAGGCCTGACCCCAGTGGACATTTACTGAGAAATTACTGTATACCAGGCCCTGGGCTAGAGACAGAGCAAGGACAGTGACTCCCTTCCTGGCCCTGGAGCAGCTCCAGTGACACGCAAACCCACAGTGAGACAGTGTGGCCAGGTGGGTGAGCCCGCTGGGAGCAGCCTGGAAGGACCCCTGGGGCGTCTGCTCAGGGGAGAAGGGAGGAGAGGGAGCTGAGCAGGGCACAGCCGGACAAAGGTCTGGGGTCCCCAGGGCATCTCACCTTGCTCAACACCCAGAAGGGCAGCCAGCAGCACCAGCAAGGTCTTCATTCTGGAGAGGACGGCGGTCCTGCCTAGGGGTCCCAAGCCAGAGCAGCCCGTCCTGCTCTAGAGAGACACAGCTGGTCAGGGGCCAGGGAGGCCTCGCTCCTCACCAGGACCACGCACCCCTATGTTGTGGACGAGGACACAGACAGCAAAGAGAGGTGGGGACCTGCCAGCGCTCGGGCTTCCCTGCCAGCTCCTGACCCACCCCTCACTCAGTGCAGCCACGTTCTAGGTTACACCCCTCCCCAAACCTGGCGGGAGGGGGCCGCACAGGCAGGAGGAGGAAACTCAACAGCCCCCTCGGAATCACAGAAAAGGAGGCGCAGTGAGCGGCCTCTGCCAAGGGCTCTGGGTGATCAGTCATAATATTAGCTAGTCTGGGGCCGGGTGTCAGGTCTCCATGTGCAAGCCTGGAGCCTACGCCTGAAGTCCTGCTTGCCTTGGCTGAGTGCCCCCCACCTGCATTCACCATTGTTCCTAATCACCCAGTGGGAGTTTACCCAGCAGAGGTTTCCCGGAGCCCCTCACCCCACCCTGCCATGTTAACTGTCACTATGATAATGTGAATACCCCTCACCCCACCCTGCCATGTTAACTGTACTATGATAATGTGCCGGCTCCTCACCCCACCCTGCCATCTTAACTGTTACTGTGATAATGTGAATACTCCTCACCCCACCCTACCATCTTAACTACTCTTACCCCACCTGCCATTGTAACTGAACCTATGGTAATGTATGCTTCCTGCCCCTACCCACCACCATAACTGATCTTACTCTGTAACTTTCCACTGCCCACCCCAAACCTACAAAACCAACTCATCCCACTGCCCTTGGCTAACGGCCTTTTTGGCCTTAGCCCACCTGCACCCAGGTGAATAAGCAGCCATGTTGCTCACACAAAGCCTGTTTCGGGGGGTCTCTTCATTCAAAGCACGTGTTTTTCAACACTTGGGACAGTGGCTCACACCCGTGATCTCCATGCTATGTGGGGCCATGGCAGGAGGATCACATGAGGCCAGGGGTTTGAGACCCGCCTGGGCAACATAGTAAGATCCCCCGTTTCTGCAAAAAATAGAAAAATTAGCTGGGTATGGTGGTACGTGCCTGTGGTCAGCTACTTGGGAGGCTGAGGTGGGACGCTCTTTTAAGCCAAGGAACTCAAGGCTGCAGTGAACTATGATCATGGCAC